CTTCCCGGCCTGCGCGGGCCTCTCTGCGTCCAGGAGGGAACCCCGGGGACAGCCGCTCCCGGATGCCGGAGCAGCAGCCTCGCGGCGTTCCAGCCACGCCAGCGACAGCGGGCGTTAAAGGGCGGGCACGTCTGCGTTTCGGGGTCCGCAGCCCGCACCCGGTTTCACTCGCAGGAGCGGTGCCGGCCAGAGAGGTAGGCCTTCCTCCCTTTGTCGCGAAAGGAGGGCATGGTGTGAGCCGGACAGCCCCGCGGGGAGGTCCTCCCCGGTGGCTGAGGGTCCGAGCACACCGACCTGCAGCCGGAGACCTCGCCCGCGGGATTGCTCGCGGGAACCGGTCCTGTTGCCGGCCTGTAGATGGCGCACCCAGGAGGCTGTAGGAGGGGAGGGCGGAAGGGCCGGAGAAACACACAGGCCTCCTGGTCGCGGACCCGGTGACATCTGGTCCTTGGTCACTGCTGGGTCCCTGGAGCCTAGGATTGCACCTGACGCCCAGGAGATGCCCTGCCAGTGCTTTAGAAACAGTGCAGGATGCAGAAATGGAGATGATGATGATGATGCAGAATGCATATTTTTGAAAGGCACTAGGGTACAGAAATAACGAGTGATGATGGTGGTGGTGGTGATGAATAACAAATTACTGTGCGCGCCAGCACGGCCACGGGTGAGCCTGAGCCTGAGGAAGGGCGGTGAAGGATTGAAGAAAAGATGGGAAGAGAATACGGCTGGGGCCCGGTGGGTCTCCCGTGCCCGGACGACAACACAGAAGACCCAGCCTGCAGGCCAATGCTCTATTTTACAATCTGATTACAACAAGGGCAGACTAACATGTATGCAAATGTTCTTGCTGCACCTCCCACAGCCCATTAGCTGCTTAGAAGGGATTAGGGAGGACGACAAGGTCAGGCTTCATTATGCCAGGAGAGCTCTGCCATCCAGGCGGGGACTGGTTTGTGTCCCTGCCCCAGGTCAGCCCCAGGCTTGGCCCTAGAGCCACTCTGAACAGATTATAATTCAGTTTCTCAAAGGGGAGATGCTACGGCCGGATAGGAGGGGTGTTTAAAGAATGTCTTCTCCATCAGGGGAGAGACAAGGCTGGGAGAAATCAGAGGGTCTGTGATGTAACAGGGACTTCTCCAGAGAAACGGCTCCGTGCACAGAGGTGGGGACACAGGCAGACCGGGGGCAGTTGCTTTGTGGAGCTTGAAGTCTGAAGTAAAACGGTGGCAGTGTGTGCTGCGTTGCCCAAACCTGAAGGCCCATGAACGTGAAGAATACGATGTGGACATTCATCGTCACTGTCAGTGGTGACCCCGGAAACTGAAATCGTGGGTAACGGTACTGACCAAGGAAGGAACGTGCTTCTCACTTTGTGGACTCTCATCCTAGTATTCCAGGACACGCAAAACAAACAACAAAACGACAAGGCGTGGTAAGAGAATATGGTGCGTTGACCGAGTCGAGGGTAGATGTTTTCTGTGGAGCAATACCTTGTTACAGATAGGATCCAAAAGTCGTATTTACCCCAAACCGTAGAGCAACTAGGAATCCAGCCAACAGGAGAAGGACGCGGCCTCTTGGACAGAACAGTTAGATGCTTACCCGCATATCACGTACAGATGTCCTAAAAGACTCCTGTCTCGAGCTTTATTTTATCACATTGCAATGAGATTGTCGATGGATTGGATTGCAGTGTGCATTGAGAAGAATGCATGTTGGAACGCAGCCACTGGAATGTTGAGAGGAAGTTATGTGTGCGTGCGTGTGAGTGTGTGAGTACGTGTGTGTGTGAGTGAGTGTGTGTGTGAGTGTGTGTGTGAGAGTGTGTGTGTGAGTGTGTGTGTGTGAGAGTGTGTGTGTGAGAGTGTATATGTGTGTGCGTGTGTGTGTGTGAGTATGTGTGAGTGTGAGTGTGTGTGTGAGTGTGTGTGTGAGTGTGTGTGAGAGTATGTGTGAGTGTATATGTGTGTGTGTGTGTGTGTGTGTGAGTATGTGTGAGTGTGAGTGTGTGTGTGAGAGAGTGTGTGTGTGAGTGTGTGTGTGTGTGAGTGTGTGTGAGAGTGTGTGTGTGAGTGTGTGTGTGTGAGTGTGTGTGTGTGTGAGTGTGTGTGAGAGTGTGTGTGAGAGTGTGTGTGTGTGAGTGTGAGTGTGTGTGTGAGAGAGTGTGTGTGTGAGTGTGTGTGTGTGTGAGTGTGTGTGAGTGTGTGTGTGTGAGAGTGTGTGTGTGAGTGTGTGTGTGCGTACGTGTGTGTGAGTGAGTGTGTGTGAGTGTGTGTGTGAGAGAGTGTGTGTGTGAGAGTGTGTGTGTGTGTGTGCGTATGTGTGTGTGTGAGAGTGTGTGTGTGTGAGAGTGTGTGTGTGTGAGTGTGTGTGTGTGAGAGAGAGTGTGTGTGTGAGTGTGTGTGTGTATGTGAGTGTGTGTGTGTTGGGGAGGATCCCGGCTGCCCATGTTCACATCCGAGGGGCCCCTCCTCAGGGACACACATCTCGGTTGCAGGACCCATCCCCGGCCACAGCCAGGGGCAGAGTGGGAGGCAATCGATTGATGTGTCTCTCACATGGATGTGTCTCTCTCTCTGTCTCTCCCCCTCCCTTCCACTCTCTCTAAAAAATAAACAAAATAATAAATAGTACACCCCTAGTCATGTGACGTAGGAACAGATGAAATCGGAAGCGAAGTTACTGTAATGAGATGGGAAACCTAAACATCCAGTCAATGCGAGCTGTGGGCTTCTGAATACCAAGCCGACATTGCTTCACCTCTCCGTCAGCGTGTCTGGCCTTCCTTTCCGGGTAACCCTCGGAGAATCAGGTTTCGGATTTAACGTGTGACTGTCCTTCTTGGAGGATCTACTCTAATTGCTTTTTCCAGGATGATGGTTTTGGCAATTAAGTAGTCGGTTTCCACCCGAATGACTCTGCCCATTCTGCAGAAATCGCCGTGACCATGTGCTCTTGGAAACTGGTTTTCCCTGGATTGCTTGGCACCGTGGCACCACCTGTCTGCTGAGCAGAGACTCCAGATTCAGTGGCTGACTCCCCGCTGGGGCCTGTCCCTCGTGTCCGGAGAAGCTAGAAGGAATGTTATTTTTCACACACTGTCAAGTTAATGCCAGGAGCATTAGCCCGTCCTGTTTTAGGCTCTGCAGCCTTGTTTACAAAGAAGGTGACGTAGCTGGTTATTCATTTTTCTAAGATTAGAATCCCTATTGGCCATCTTGCTACCAGTAGTCATTCAAACTGGATGCTGGGTGAAACTTTTACACGGTAAAAACTAGACATTATTTCCCTTAATACTTAAAAATAATTATGGAGGAAACATTCTCTACATAAAATGGGTACATGCCGAATTACATATACATAAAAGTTATAAGTTCCTCACATGTTCAGTGGTGCCGAATTTCATAGCAATTAGGCCTGGTAACTCTTTAAGTAGTTATTGTAGTGGTGGTTGAAGGAGTCTCTCTACATTTTCCTGGAGACTGAGCCGGCCAGCCAGACAGCATGACTGGGCCCCTGTCATACGGCCAACACCGCCCTCTGCTGGCCAGGAAGCAAGCCAGACTGCTTCCTGACGGGACCAGGAAGGCCATTGCACATGAAGGCAGAGCCTTGAACTCCGGTTTCTCAGGAGTGCTCAGGCGTGGAACAGAGTAAAATAAATAGAATAAAGAGTGCAGACTTCACCCGAGACTCGTCTCTTACACGTCTGCATTGTTTTAAGTAACTGACAAACAGTTGTGGGGATTTTGGAAAATATTAAGCCAGATGTGAACCGTCTTCCTAGCATTTTTTAAAACGTGTCTTTGTTGTCGGAAGTTTTGCAGATGTCCCCCCTTTCCTACACCAAGGACCCTTCCGCCTCTTGGTGGCATTTAAGTGAAGTCTGTCCCCATTCCGTGTGCCAGAGGCAGCCTCGAGGCTCCCGGGGGCCTGCCCGCTGGGCGGCAGGCGCGGCTGGGTGTGTGTGCGGAGAGGGAACCAGCTTTCAGCTTTCACAGCATCGGGATTTCAGCGATGTTTCTGGCTCTCTATCCCTCTCCCTTCCTCTATATAAAAAAATCAATAAAATATATCAAAAAAAAAAAGAAAAGAAGTGACGATGTCAATAAAAATATATTTAATTCATGACGCATTTTGGGGTATGTAATTGGCAGTATGTAACAGGAATGCCCTTGGGGAATTACACACACTTAATTAATGATCATTTGCTCCTTATATAGAAATGTTTTTTAGAAGAAAATGCTCATATTTCCATTCGAATTGCTCTTCAGCATTTTATGATATTGGACTTAGTTCAGGAGGTACGCATGCTCTCCAGGATGGAAGATTTCATGCCAGTGTGTTAATAGATATGAAACTTTTTATTTGTTAGATCAAGTTGTAGCTTTGTATGTTGTTGTTGTTTTAAATGTATTGTAGCTTTGTTGTTGAAAGTATTACAGATGCTTTAACTAAGAACCCTTCAGTTATATTTGAAAATAGAGTAAAACTATAGATCATTTATGTTTTGTTTTTTTAAATATATTTTTATTGACATCGGAAAAGGAGAGAGAGGTACTGGTAGAAACATCAATGAAGAGAGAGAATCATGGATCGGCTGCCTCCTGCACGCCCCCCACTGGGGATCAAGCCTGCAGCCCGGGCCTGTGCCCTCACCGGGAATCGAACTGTGACCTCCTGGCTCCTAGGTTGATGCTCGCCCCCTGAGCCACACTGGCCAGGCTGTATGTTTTTTTTTTTTTTTTAAATGCAGTTTGGCAGGTACTGGGCATGGTGGGTGGCAGGTACTGGGCATGTTAAACGTTCGTGTGTTAAAAGGTAGATGAGTTTAGTAATGGAATGGTACGGGTTTATGGGACCAGACCATACTCTGGCATTTTCAGGAGTCTAAAGCCTGTGCAGGAGGGACTCTCCGTGGGCTGGGGTTGGGTTTGCCTGAGGCCGGGCCTGGCCCTCACGCCGCCCGCGTGACTGCACGTCTCACCCGCCTCTCCCAGTTTCTCGGCAGCACCGAGGTGGAGCAGCCCAAAGGCACCGAGGTCGTCCGGGACGCAGTGCGGAAGCTGAAGGTAGGTGAGCGCCCCTCCCGCCTCCCCCATATCCCCCCGCGCCCCCAGGCCGGTGTGGATCCTGGCTGAGCCGGCCGCAGCCCAGACTCTGAGGGGCCTTCAGAGTGTGCATGCCTCGGTGGTGGACATGGCTTCCCGGTTAGAAACGGGCTCTCGAATCAGTGTCACCAGGTTGAGGAATGCTGCATAGTAAGTGTGAGCTAACTGTCTGTCTTCACCACGGCACTCCCTCCCCAGTCTCCTCAGCGCGGCTTCTCTCCGGAAGGCGGAGAGGCAGCGTTCCCCGCCCCCTGGCGCCCGGTGGCTCGCCTCCACTGCGGGCCGCACGCCCTGACCAGCTAGTAGTGGTGTGACAGCTGCTTAGCAGTCAGGGTGTCAGCCGGCGCGGCTCAGGGGCTGAGCTTCAGCCAGTGAATCCGGTTCATGGGCTCGATCCCCAGTGGGGGCGTGCAGGAGGCAGCTGATCCATGGTTCTCTCTCATCCCTGATGTTTCTCTCCCCCCCCATCTCCTCTCCCCCTCCCTCTCCATCTCCCTTCCTCTCTGATGAAAACTCCGTTCTACGCTCTTAGCAGCTTTCACACACACACACACACACACACACCAGAGGCCCGGTGCACGGAATTCGTGCCAGGGGCTCGGCCCTCGCAGCCCCAGCTTCGTCCGGAAGGTCGTTCGGCTGTCCGGTCTAATTAGCATATTGCGCTTTTGTTAGTATAGATTGTGAACTGGACCTCACACCCAGGACTGACTGATTCTGTACTGGAGTTTGTACCTCTGTGCTTCCTGTGCCCATTTGCCCACCTCCACCTGCCTCTGGGCCTGCAGGCTGTAGGTTATTTTTGTTTTGGATTCTGCATATGACACTGAATGATATTCATCCTCTTCTGCCTGAATCCTTTCACTTCCCATAATACCCTTGCCTCACGTGGCAAGGTGTCCTTCCCTTTATAAAAGGCTGAGGAATAGTCACACCTGTGTCACATCTTCTGTATCTACTCGTTCACCAAAAGACCCTTCATTGCTCCCCTCAGCATTCTCATCTCTCCCTTACCGAGAAAATCTAACATCCCACTAAACCAGCAGGTCCTCGGTAACATCTTTTGTTCAATATTGTTTTATTTTTTTAAAGTAAATATATATTTATTGATTCTGGAGAGGAAGGGAGAGGGAGAGAGAGAGAGAAGCATCGGGGATGAGAGAGAATCACTGATTGGCTGCCTCCTGCATGCCCCACATGGGATGGAGCCCACAACCCGGGCCTGTGCCCCAACTGGGAATGGAACCCTGACCTCCTGGCTCAGAGGTCGGCGCTCAGCCCCTGAGCCAGCCGGCCTGCTCGGTGTCACTGTGTTATGACACTGAGATGCCGTGGGCACCGTGGTTCCTGTCCATCAGCCTCTGGTGAAACTGGTTTCACAAATCGCTGCGCCTTGTTCGGGAGCCTGGTGACAGGTGAGATGCCTCTCCTTCATCGTGCGGCTCCTGCCGCCCAGCTGCTCCCCGCTCCGTTTGCTCTGTGAGCGGCAGCTGCTCCCGATCGCCCTCCGTGTGGGAGAGGCACAGCCACGTGAGGCCTGCACCCCGAGTCTGAGTCTGAGCTGAGCCGGGTGGAGGGGCGGCTGTGCTCTGGGTGAAAACTGAAAACGGATGATGCTTCACGCACTCATTTCACCAGCAGCCATGCTCCCATGTTTGACGTAAATGCGCTCTGAGGTCCCGGGTGGCCTCGCTCCCCGTTGGGGAAAGCGGGCGGGCGGCCCTCCCCACCGCGCCAGACGCTGGCCCGGCCCTGGCTCTGAGCGCCCACGGGGCTGAGGGCCTCCCAGTTCTCGGCAGCTCGTGGAACCAGACTCTGTCCCGGCATCAGGACGCCTCCTACGCTGGGCGGGAGTCCACTTCGCTCCCCGACATCAGAACGTTTTAGCGAGATCAGTGGCCTGTAGCCGCAGGGTCTCTTTATATCTAGGGGGGCCTTTATTCAGTCACCCCGAACCCCAGACCAGGACTCCCTCTCATCGTGGCCAGATCCAAGGCAAACAGGTATTTGCAATGAAATGCTTTAGGAACAGAGCTGGTTTTTATGCGCAGCACGGAGTAAAAGCTGGTCTGCAGTCGTTATTATGGAAAATAATACAATAGTTAATGAATAATAATGCTTATCACAGCTGTCAGCCTCGTCTGGCCACACGCGTGTTTTTGTGGGACTCTACATGTAGTTCCGATGTAGTTTCGCGTTTGGAAAGGCCCTCTGTTATGGAGGGGAGGTGGTTGGCAGGAAGATAAAAACCACATGGCGTAGTTTAGCCCTTCAAGTGCCTTCCGGAACAAATACCTGTGAGAAGCCACCATTGCGTGAGTGATTGCAAATAGTATTTGGATTTGGAAAGTATGTCTGAGGGCAATAATTCGGGAACCAGTGAACAGTGTTTTTTACGTATTTTGTGTGTTTGAGGCTACAACTCAAAGTAGATTATTCACATTTTTTAAAAAAAAGAATGTTTAGTTCTGTTATGTTGAAATAGCCAGAAGATGGCGCTGTGGCGCCACTTAAAAAATAAATGTGCTCATTAATCTTGTACTCATCCCTCATTTTGATTTCCTGCTTAGGTTTCTTAATCACATGTGTTCTACCCGCTCTGTTACCCAGGAGGGTGCAGTATTTCATCTTACTTGCTTTGGTTAAGGGAACATTTTATAGTTACTAAAGTTTTTAAAAGTTCCCAATACTAATATATTGGCCTTTGACTTAAAAAGAATGACAATTTTAGGATCAATGCCATATGATGGAAAACTTAAAAAAGATTTTCAATAATTTATTTTCCATGCTACCATGTTTAATGATGCCCGATAACTTTTCAGAAAGAGTTTAAACACTGAATTATTGCCACTTTTCCTGTCATTTTGTGGGGAATTTATACATTTTTCTAAAATGAAAAAAAATGTTGTAAGCAAGTACGTGTTCGTCAAAACATTATGTTTTATATTTATTGAGTATGTTTTAGCCTGAGATGTAAGAAAATACCAAATTCTGTGAAATCTGATCATTTAAAAGCCCTTTCAACTTCTATCTAGTACCAGTGTTATTGTAAGGAATTTGAGATGAGTGGTATTTATTTGTTCTTATAAATACAATTTGTGTCAGTTTTAGAGGGCTCAGGCCACGTGAGAGGCCAGGACCTCAGGACTCCTACGAGATCTACTCCAGCAGTGTTTTCATTTTCTGTGAGGAGACTCTGTTAAGTTTGTTTTCTAATATTTCTTGTTGGCTTTAGAGAGAGAGGAAGGGAGAAGGTGAGAGAGAAGCCTCCATGATGAGAGAGAATCATGGATCGGCTGCCTCCTGCCCACCCCCCGCAGGGATGGAGCCTGCAACCCGGGCCTGTGCCCTGCCCGTAATCAAACCCTGACCCCCTGGTTCCTGGGTCGACTCAACCACTGGGCCACACCGGCCAGGCAAAAAGTTTATTTTTTAAACGCGGAAAACCTGTGTGCAACAGAAAGGAATCATTTAGTGGCGGGGCGAGGCCTGGTGGCTGCACACATCTCGGACCCGGGCCCTGGCTCAAAGGACCTCTGGGAGTCTGGGGACACAATTCCTTCCTCTGGAGACGCAGAGGCAAGGCCTTCCCGGGGCCCAGACCAGACACTTCCTGCTGCTGTGTCTTTGTCTCCCTGTGTCTCCTTCCCTCCTCCCCTGGGTTTTCCCTGCCTCCCACCTCCTTCCTCTCTGCATCCCTCCCTGCTTCTTCTTCTTTTTCTGGGGGAACAGCAACAGCCCAGCAGCTGGTGCTGTTAGTGGGCTAGTGGGTGTTCTGTGCCCCCGTCTGGGCACCGGAGAGGGGCCCGGGATGTGGGTGCGGCTGCTTGTCCCCGGGCGGAGGTTCAGAGCCCAGAGCGGTCCCCGGGCCCAGGGGCAGGGACAGTGAGGGCCGCCCCTGCACACACCCCCGGGCGCACGTTCTGCACCGGGAAGGAGCGGGGAGAGGAGCACACCCTCCTCTCTCTGGGGTGCTTTTCACGATTCTCACTGAGGCAGAGCAAACCTCTGCAAGAAAAACAAAGCAAACCAAAACCCCTTTGGCCCGAATCAGTGGGTCTTCTGTGCAGAAATAAGAACGCTGGCTGCAGGAGAGACGAGGAAGCTGCCTGCGCCCCCGGGCGGACAGACGTGCTGACAATCCCAGGAGAATGAAGCTCCCCTCCCCTCCACGCCCCCCTCCACGTGGTGACAGCTCCCCCGCAGGTTACGGGGTTTATAAAACACTTTAATGAAACGCTCAACACAATAGGAACTCCATTTATATTATACATACCCCACCTATAGATACATAAAATATGGGTTCATTCTTCATAGAGATAATTATATGAAGTAATTAAATGAAGTAATTTTTCATTTGTAGTTTGCAAGACATATCAAGAAATCCGAAGGCCAGAAAATTCCAAAAGTCGAGTTGCAAATATCGATTTATGGAGTGAAAATTCTAGAGCCCAAAACCAAGGTAAGGCGCGTTTTCGAATGTCCTCACGCGTGTCTGTGCGTGTTCACAGGAAGCCCAGTGCCAGCTGGTGCTGGGGAATGGACCGGCCCCTCACGTGTGTCTGTGCATGTTCACAGCTGGTGTTCAGGCACTGGGCAGCCCCATCACGTGTGTCTGTGCGTGTTCACAGCTGGTGTTCAGGCACTGGGCAGCCCCATCACGTGTGTCTGTGCGTGTTCACAGCTGGTGTTCAGGCACTGGGCAGCCCCATCACGTGTGTCTGTGCGTGTTCACAGCTGGTGTTCAGGCACTGGGCAGCCCCATCACGTGTGTCTGTGCGTGTCCGCAGGAGGTCCAGCACAACTGCCAGCTGCACCGGATATCGTTCTGCGCGGACGACAAGACGGACAAGCGGATCTTCACCTTCATCTGCAAGGACGCCGAGTCGCACAAGCACCTGTGCTACGTGTTCGACAGCGAGAAGTGTGTAAGTGCCGCCGGGCGTCCGAGGGCCGTCCCTCTCCCGGTCCGGGGTTGTCTTGTTCCCGGCGTCGGTCAGTCTGGGGACGCGAGCCACGCCTGCAGCTACTAAACTCCTAACGGGCCTGTCACGGGGCTGCGGATCCGTCCGTGACGGATCCTCGTGTCGGGCACGCAGGCCCACGTGCAAGCCGCTTCTCTAGGACGCCGGCCGGCTCGTGCTGTGCATGTTTATTTATAAGCCTATCGTTTATTCGCGATTTAATCTCAAACATGGCTTGGGGATGTGCCCATGATGCAGAGTGGTGGTCAGCACAGTTCGTTTTTTCTGGGATGTTAATGGATCGATGCAAAGAAACACGCTGAACTCCAGGAAATAATATCTGTGCGGCTTCTCTAAAAATGGCCAACACTTGGAAAGCATGGTTCTTAATTTTCGTGTCTCAGAAAACTTACCACAGTGAAAAGTCATGGAATCCGGAGAGGTGTGAGCACATGCGTGTGCCGGTAAATGGGGGTGGGGAGTGTGCCCTTGTGAATGTAATCTGAAGCTCTTAGCAGGTGAGGACCACCAGGGAATCCTGAGGTTAAGTTCTGCAATAATTCTTTAACCTTCTGGAACCGTAAGGAAACCCTGGGCCTTGATCATAAGCATAAGCTAAGGCTTATAACCTAGACCATGGTCCTGTTGTCAAGCCTACGACGTGAATTCCAAGACATGTGGCAGCCATCAATGGCGTTTTCTCTTTCAAGTATGTTGTAATGATTTTAGATAAAGAGAAGTGAGTGGGAGAAAGAGACGGAAACATCAGTGACGAGAGAGAATCCTCAGCTTCGTTCGGCTGCCTCCTGCACGCCCTCCACCCCCTCCCCCCGGCTGGGGATCAGGCCTGCGGCCGGGGCCTGTGCTCTGATGGGAATCGGAACGGTGACCTCCTGGTGCCTGGGGCCACGCTCACCCACTGATGTCCTTAATGAAGCAGAGCACCTCACCTCGGCAACATGCCTGGCTTAGACGGGAAAGGAACTGAATTCATGCATTTGCTCATTTTTCAGGCTGTCATAAAGTCAGAGGACTAGTATTACTGTCACACGCAGTTTATTTCTGTGCTCAGTACACGAGCTTCTTGCAAACACCTTTTTTATCTGTCCACGTAAGTCCTACCACAGTCGACAATAGATACTCAATGAATTTTTCTTTAAAGAAAAGACCGGGTTTCCGTAGAGCATGTTAATATCTGTATTATTTGGGAAACACATGTTTCCCAAAGTGTGGTACACGTACCCCCAGGGGCGCGGGAAGAGTTTGGTGGGGATATGCACTGCACCGTGCTTAGCTGCGCCCAATTCTCCGTTCTCATGAGTACGAGGGGCACTCAGCCAATTATAGAAGGGGCACACGTATGTCAGAAGTTTGGGAAATCTAGACTCGAGCTCTTTAAGAAGGCAAACTCATGTGTTAACCTAATTGGCACCAAAATATCTTTTGAGAATTCGATGAGCATTACAGAACATTCCATCAGAAAAAAAAATATGCTTCCCCAGATGGGAAGCGTGTGTGCACAGTAAGGATGTTCTGAGAAGCTCCAGTGGCTTGGAGACGCACCCTCCGGGGCGAATGCATTACGTGGGACATTCCCAGCGCCGCTGGCCATGATTGCTTGCAGCTGTGCCTCTGTGCCTGCGGAGGCCGGAGCAGCTCTCCTCCGTGTCAGACAGACCAGCCTTGGGCCACTTCCCCAGAGCAGCGCAGGCTGTCTCTCTCGTCTTACACAGGGCATTAAACCTTCTTGAAATATTAATGCTCAGAAGAGATCATTATGGATATGAGCCTTCTTACGGCTTTGTGTCAAAGTGCTTTTCTTTACTTGACCCCCAGCAAATGGGTTTACGTGATCATTTAGACCACATGTGTCAAACACAAGGCCCGTGGGCCAAATCCGTCCCGCCAGGCCTTGCAATGTGGCCCGCACCGCGCTGTCATCACTGCACTCCGCTGCGTTTCCATCACAATGACAGTTTATGACTGTTCAGTAAACCATTCGGCCCGCGATTTAGGCTGGATTTTAGATTTTGGCCCCTTCTCTGATTGAGTTCGACACCCCTAATTTAGACACTAGAGGCCCAGGGTATGAAATTCGTGCACTGGAGGGGCGGGGGTGTTCCTCAGCCCAGCCAGCACCCTATCCAATCTGGGACCCCTTGGGGATGTCTGACTGCTGGTTTAGGCCCAGTCGGACATTCCTCTCACAATCCGGGACTACTGGCTCTCAGCTGATCGCCTGCCTGCCTGCCTGATAGCCCCTAACCACTCCCCTGCCAACCCGATTGCCCCCAACTGCCATCCACTGCCAGCCTGATCACCCCCAACTGCCTTCTCCTGCCAGTCTGGTTGCCCCTAACTGCCCTCCCCTGCTGGCCGGATTGCCCACAACTACCCTCCCCTGCCGGTCATCTTGTGGCGGCCATCTTTGACCACATGGGGGTGGCCATCATGTGCGAGGGTGTGAGGGTCAATTTGTATATCACCCCTTTATTATGTAGGATAAGCTTGCCAAATCCCCGGGTTTCACGGTATAGACTTTACTGCTACCCGATCATCGTTGTCTGCCACTGACTTCATCACTGTAATTCCTCAGTGCGTTGTTCCCTGTGAAGACGGCACGTGAGCGTCATGTGCTCTGAGGGCAGCACGCGTAGGGCTGCCCGATGGCTCACAGGCTGTGTGCTCAGGACTCAGAAGCAGAGCTCTGGTTTCCACTTCTCAAACAAGTCCACGTGGACCGGGCTGGGCTCAGGGGACCCACGTGCAGCGTGTTCGCCACGCGATTCCGCTGCAGGAGGATGGAGCCTGGGCTTCGAAAAGCAAGGGTCTGAGCTCCCCTCCAGCCTCACGTTAGCATCTCGTTCATGAATGAGCTCAAAGAGGACCGTTTCCTCAACGTTTCCTTATGCTATTTTTACCTCAAGGTTTCTTTTGCTCTAATTATATTCATTTGCATAGCCTGGCCCCGTGGTCGGCAAACCTCGGCTCTCTAGCCACATGCGGCTCTTTGGCCCGTAGAGTGTGGCTCTTCCACAAAACACCACGGCCTGGGAGAGTCTATGTTGAAGGAAGTGGCGTTACAAGAAGTTTAAGTTTAAAAAATGGGGCTCTCCAAAGAAGTTTCAGTCTTTGTGCTGTGGATATTTGGCTCTGTGGACTAATGAGTTTGCCGACCACTGGCCTATCACTATAATATAAAGGAAATTGAATTTACAATTGAATACTTATTCAGAGAGAAATTCCGGGGCCTACATGGTTTCATTGATGTGATGTTTGTGAAGCATTCAATTGATGACTTTACCCAACTTCATTTTATTATCATAAATAGATTTTTTGTTTGTCTTATTTTTTAAAATCCATCTTTATTGATCTCAGAGAGGAAGGGGGAGGGAGAGAGAGATGGAAACATCAATGCTGAGAGGGAATCCTGGGTCGTCTGCCTCCTGCATGTCCCACACTGGGGATCGCGCCCACAACCCGGGAGTGTCCTGACCGGGGAGTAAACCGTGACCTCCTGGCTCATAGGCCCACCGTGAGCCGCGCCAGGCCCCTTGTCTTTACATCGGGCGTAAGAACACGGCTCGTCTCCGTTCCTCTGCCCCCAGGGCTGCCCTCTGGAGGTGCCCGATGGGCATGTCTGTCTGGATGCACAGGCCAGTCTGACACACGCTCACTGCCCGCTCCTCTCCTTTGCTTTATGTGTCTGAAGGCGGAGGAGATCACGCTAACCATCGGCCAAGCGTTTAACCTGGCATACAGGAAGTTTCTAGAATCTGGAGGCAAGGACGTGGAGACGAGGAAGCAGATCGCAGGGCTCCAGAAAAGAGTGAGTACCCCGAGCGGGGTGTGTGGGCTGTGACGTGAGCGCGGGAACCTCACAAACCATCAGACAGAGTAGCAGCGCCATCCATCCATCCATCCATCCACCCCCCCCACACACCGTCACCCTGTCCGTCTCCCACCCGCCGTCTCCGTGTCTCCCCTTCACCGCCCGAGGCGCGGCTGCTAACCGTTTCTGTTGGATTCCCCAAGAGCGTAGTGTTCTCATGTGACTCTGCTTCACTCCCATGCTTCTCGCGGGGATCAGAGCAGCAGCAGCAGCAGAGGCTGGGTAAGTGGCTTCCCACGCAGACGGGTCCGAGCAGTGAACGGCCTTCTGGCCTGCGGCGAACGGCTCCCCGGCCCGCATTTCCCTCCACGGCCACGGGCGAGGCAGCCCGCCCGCAGGGAGCACAGCCCAGGCTTAGCACCAGCCTATGCGCACGCCTACAAACATCCTCCAGGCCACTCGTCTGCCCAGGGACCAGCGCTCTGTGTCCCCCGAGCCTTACCCAGTAGCACAGGAGAGCACACTGCAGTCTAAACAGCAGGAATTCCACTTGCCAGCACAGTTACTGTCAGAGCCGGTGTGCTCCGAGCATGCATTTCTGAAGGTCTGTCCAACGGTCGTTTGCCTTTAGATTCAAGACTTGGAAGCGGAAAACGTGGAGCTTAAGAACAAAGTCCAGGGCCTGGAGAACCAGCTGCGAATAGCCCAGGTGTGCACGTCTCCGGTGAGTGCTCAGAGGCCGTGCCCGGTCTCCGGGAGGAGCTTTCCTGGTGGCGGAAGGCCTGGGGCCAGCCGATCAGCGGCGTTCCTCCTCACGCTCTGTCGTCGGCAGTGTAAACTGGCACATGGATAGAAATGAAAGAGCCCAAGGTTAATTAAAAATTAAGATTTCCACCCGGCCAGAGTGGCTCAGTGATTGAGCATTGACCTATGAACCAGGAGGTCACGGTTCGATTCCAGGTCAAGGCACAGGCCCGGGTTCCAGGCTCTGTCCCCAATAGGGGGCGTGCAGGAGGCAGCTGATCAATGATTCTCTCTCATTGTCGATGTTTCCATCTCTCTCTCCCTCTCCTTTCCTCTCTGAAACCAATGCTATATAACAAAGAGCTAATATGCAAATGGTCGTCACGCCTCACACCGTCACAGTCCATCATGACAGTGTATCTGGAATAACGTGATCTGGGCCGTGGCTGGCCATGTTGTCTCCCTCTGGTTCCCTGACATCAGAGAGCTCCAGGGGGAGAGTGGAAGGTGCCCACCCATAGGACGAGGAGAGGACGGGACGCAGGGACCCTTCGGGGCAGCAGACGGAGAGGGGGCATCGGTGCCGCTGGGGGAAGCAGTGTCGGCAGAGTCTGGCCAGACAGGCGTCACGAGCGAAGGAAGAACGAGATGGGGCAGTGCAGTGCCTTCCTCAGGGAGCTGGCCGTGAAGGGAGGAGGAAGGATGAGAGCGGAAAGCAGGGGCAGAGGGAGCCATCTGCCGTGGTTCTGCTTTGCCTTTGACCAGCTGAGATCTGAGTTGTTGATTCCGAGGAAGAGGAGAGAGGTGGCCACTGGGGGGGGGGGGGGGGGGGATGAGGGTAGGGGGGCAGTGATCCTGAGGGGGGCAGAGCTGAGGGGTGCAGTTGCCTGGAGGCTTTGGATAGTATTTACGTTGAAGTAAATGGGACGGTAAAAAGGGGGAGTTGACAGTCAATTTCCTGCCTGAAGGACAAGCAAAGGAGCAGCGAACAGACTGTCACTACAGCGGGAGGCAGGAAGGGTGGAGGGGTCAGAGATCAACCGAAGGACTGTGTGCAGGCATGTGAGCACAACCAGCAGACCCAGACACGGGGGCGGGGGACGCGGGCAAGTGCTGGGGGTAGGGGAGGTGGGGGAGGTCAATGAGGGGGGGGAAAGAGACACCTTACACAATAAATTAAAAAACTCAGACACATGTACTAGCAATCATGCTGATGGCAAGCCTGTCACTCTTCACACATAAGCAGCCTTGTTAGTCTTCATCGTTTTCGTCGTCTGTGACTCAGAAAGATAAAGGCATTCTGAGAGTGTCATTTGACCCTCAGACCATGACCTCCTGGTTCATAGGTTGATGCGCAGCCACTGAGCCACACTGGCGGGGCTCATTAAAATGTTTAATTACCGAAGTGTCATGTTTACTTGTGCATACGAACTACTCGAAGCATTCTCTGTGTATGTTCCTACGGGAAAAGGAAATTTTCCTCACTGTCCCTCTCCAATGTGGGGGTTCTTTCTTTCCTGTCTATGGATTGTATGTATGTGTGTGTGCATGTATGTGCATTTGTGTGCGCGCGCACGCGTGTGTGTGTGTGTGTGCGTGTGTGTGTGTTTTCCCCTGAATGACAAAGGGGGTGATTATTTCGTTCTTTCATCATGCCCTGGCCCAGACAGGCCCAGATAGCAATGGCTGTGGTGGTATGTTCGGTGATTGTTAAATCACAAGTTATGGTTCATTATAAAAAACGTGTTGAACTCTTTTTTTTTTTAATATATTTTATTGATTTTTTTACAGAGAGGAAGAGAGAGAGATAGAGAGCTAGAAACGTTGATGAGAGAAACATCGACCAGCTGCCTCTTGCACACCCCCTACTGCAACCAACGTATAATACATGCCCTTGACCAGAATCGAACCCGGGACCCTTCAGTCCGCAGACTGATGCTCTACCACTGAGCCAAACCGGTTTCGGCAAACGTGTTCAACTCTTGCTCAGCAGAAAGGACACTGCAGTGTGTCTGGGAGCTGCTGTCCCTGTGGTTATAAATGTCAATTAAAATGCACCTTGAGAAGGTGACACTTGTCCTCAGTTGCATTGACAAGGTTCTAGGTAAGAAGGTATGTGTCTTATGTTCAGGTAATTTTGTTTAACGCTTACAATCTTATGCAAGACAGTCCTGAGATCGTGTTCCAGCATCTCCCTTTTCCAGCTCTGGTACCAATGGCAGTTCCTTGTGGAGACAGAGGCCAGCGCCTGCTTCCATCGCCTGAACAGCACCACCGCTAGGGTTGCCTTCATCTTTGAGGACATTTCTGCGGAAAGCTTCTCCTGCTTTCTTGCTCATGGGCACTTCGCACACCTGTGGGGCCCGTGTGAGATCACCAATGTTCAGTTATTTTGACAAAGCGGAGCCTGCCGTACCTGTGCTGTGCATGTGATGGAGCAGTCAGCACGGTCATGTGTCTGTATGCATGACGGCCCTGACCCGCTTCTCTCCCCGCAGGCCGGCAGCGTGTCGCCGCAGTCGCCCTCCACAGACATCTTCGATATGGTGCCCTTCTCGCCCACCTCCCCGCCGCCCCCGGTGCCCACGCCCAACGGCACGCAGCCGCCCCCGGTGCCCGGCAGAGCCGCCCAGACCAGTAAGTTCCAAACAAGCCAGCATACCTGGCCGCTGCTTTGTGATTCGTGGAGACCTCTCCCTCCTCTGTATTTGGGGATAAATGAGGTGCCCCTCTGACGTGTATCCCATTCTTACCAGAACGAGGGCCTGCCAATCATCTGCCATTGGTTACCTTATTTCCTGTGTGAATCTGACACCCTCTCCCCCCCCCAAAGTTATACCTGGAGAAGCAGGCATAGCGGGAGGGGAGGAGGGGCGATGTGGAGGACACAGCAGCCGAGGGCGCATTCCTCACACAGCGTTGGCTTCAGAGTGTGGTGACAGGTTCCTGGACACACAAGTCTCACTCCATTACACATTCCCAGGCCCGTCTGTACCTCCACACTCCTTCATAGTCTGTCCGGGTCTTATTGGAATTGATTCAGAGGAACGACATTTCGTAGCCATTAAAAAATTTCTTTTTAATAGGCCATAGCCTTATCAAACTCAGCCATCGATTTTAACGTGGACACTTCCTTTGTGACTAAGGAAAAGTGTGCTCTAACATGTATGTACAGAGAGCGTTGACGCTGGGATGATCCTGGGACCCAGGGCTTGCTAGGAAGGTGACATGAGGTCACACCACGTGACAGGATATCCCTCAGACATTTCCCGAGACTCCTACGGGAATGAGTAAAACTGGCCCTGGCCGCCTCAGTCAGCAGAGGGAAGGGGCGTCTCGGTGAGGAGCACGTTTCTGTTAATAACATGTAAAGCATTAATTATCCGGTATCTGGTGGGTTTGATATTAGGAGGCCCCAGTTAAAGACACAGCCTAAAGGGGATCTGAGCTTCCTGGTTGGTGTTAACAAGCCTGAGCTGGGGAACGCCCTGCATGGAGGGGGCGTGGCTCATTGTCATGTAGGGTTCCTTCACGCAGTCTGTCTGCCTCTGCTGTTCTTACACCACGTCCTGTCTTCCGTCTAGAACGAGACCTGTTCGGAGCGGAGCCCTTCGACCCGTTCAGCTGTGCAGCGGGAGACTTCCCTCCAGACATTCAGTCGAAGCTGGATGAAATGCAGGTGACTATGCAGCAGACTGGCCCCTGCCTGCTGACTGTCATTAATATGTGATTCTATAGACCAACCAGCAGGTTGGCCCTGAATAGGTTTTCCTCTTTAATATGTGATTCTGTATACCCACATTATCCTTTCCTGGAGTTATTATCACTATAAAAACTTACTTAAAGTAACTACGTTAAAACATAATGTGCATTTAGTCCCATAAACACTCCTGCACATGCTCAGGATGAGGTTTGGTTTGGATCTTAACGGAGCAAATTCCAACCGCAATAAAATGGTTTGTGTTCTCATGCAAAACTGCGTGGATTCTAATGGCTCATTAGTTTGAAATCCAAGAATTAAAAGGTCATTACACTAGATTTATAAGATTCTATCTCGGTCTTAACAATTATGAATTTCAAGACTGTGAATGGGTAGATGAAGGAAAATCTTTGTAAGGCTAGCATCAGTCTCTTGAAAGAAGCATTGTAGGGCCATCCATGACTTTGGGCTCTCAGTGAAAAAGCAGAAACCCCGCACAAGCTTTTTAGGAATGCAGTTCCCTTGGGTTCTTGTTCTCTCTCTCTCTTTTATTTCCCAGTTTTGAATTGTCCTGGAAGTTTGAAGATACTGATGTTAAGAGCTCTATAGAATGGGCCATGATTAGCCCATGTCCTTATAAACACTAAATGCTTCTGTTTCATTTCTCTTTACGTTTTGGTGAAGGTAGTTTTTATCAAAGACATATCCTTGAAGCTCTCAGACAAATATTAGTTCAAAAATCATAATTAAATTAAAAAAAATGACAATAGCTAATAAAATTCCAGTTAAGAACTTTGATGTGACAGGACAAATAATGTTAGTTAGGGGAAACTAAAGTCACCAATATCAAACTTCTGTCTGTCTCAGTGTCCCCATCTCTGCTATATTCCAAATACTGTGAATTTTCACCCAAGTAGCATGATGATTTGCTAGGAATGCTTTATTTCTGTCCTGTGGAACCCATGGCTATGCTTCTGTGAGGACAGATACACGTAAGGGCACTGATGTGAGAGTGTTTGTTCTCAAGTTTATACAAACCGTAAAGAGTATCTTTTATGAATGCTTTTTAGATTTTGACAAAGTTGAAGATAAGCCTACAACTTTCGATCTCGGTAGGCACTCACCGTTGAGAAACACTGACTGGAATGACTGCATGAGGTGCTAGTCAGAGAATGCTCGCTGTGGTGTTTTTGCTGTTACTTCCGTTTTTGCCATGTCTAACCTTTTCTTAATCTCTTGTGCATTCCTTTCTGCTCTCATGGTGGGCAGCGCCAGAGATGGTTGGTATATTATTTTCATAATAATTTTAAACAGCTTGCCATTTTTTTAAAGCTAACAATATAACACTTGCATGCTTTATGTAAGAAATATTCAAACAACAATTTCATATGGATGTATCTGATTATTAATTGTGTTTTAAAGGGATCTTATAACCCATATTGTAAAGCATTTTTCTCAATGAGGTAGTTACTACTGTATTGTCCATATCATTGTTTGCCTATGTCTTTGAGTCCAGGAGTAACTTGCAAGGTCATTTCAATTAAAGTAAAAAAATATTTTTATCTAAAGTCTATGATGATTCTATTATTTATTTTGTTAGCTTAATTAATCTAATGCCCATTTAGCTAATGTTTTTATCTTTGCATAGATTGTAAACATTTATACAGTATAATGGGCAGCATAAGCCATCATATTGAGTTAATTAGCATATTGGAATAATTGGGTTTCCTTTTTTATTGACAGAGAAAGTCACAGAAACGTCTCATACATGTACAATTTAAGTCATATTTCATTATAAATAGCTATAAAGTTAGATATTTATTTGAAATGAATAATTTAGGTTTTTCATTTGACATAATTTAAACTTCTGGTACATGACCACAACAGGGAAATCAGTAAAATAGTATGGTCAGCCCAGAAGTACACCTTGTAATTATAATGACTTAATTCCTGCTAACTCAATGAATGGTGAAAGAATTATGCATTGAGTGGTGTTAAATTGACTGGTTAATAACTTGGAGGTTCAATGTACAGAAGACAGAGCAAATATTCAAATATACTTCATAAGCAGTAAACAGGTTTAAATGTTTGAAATATGAATATTTATCAAACTTTTTATTTGGAAAGAAATTTTTATGAGGACATCCTATATAATAAAGAGGTAATTTGCAAATTGACCCTCATACTGTCACACATAATGGCCGCCACAAGATGGCTGGCAGGGAAGGGTAGTTGGGAGCGACCAGCCTGCAGGGGAGGGCAGTTTGGGAGGACAAGGTCAGCAGGGGAGGGCAGTTGGGGGTGACCAGACCTACAGGGGAGGGCAGTTGGGTGTGACCAGGCCTTCAGGGGAGGGTTTTGTGGGGGAGACCAGGCCTGCATAGGAGGGTAGTTAAGGGCAACCGGGCCAGCAGGGGAGGGCAATTGGGAGGGCCCAGGCCTGCACAGGAGGGCAGTTAGGGGTGACCAGGCCAGCAGGGGAGGGAAGTTGGGGGGCACCAGGCCTGCAGGTGAGGGCAGTTGGTAGTGACCGGAAGTGTACAGTAGGGCTGTTAGGGGTGAACAGACTGGCAAGGGAGGGCAGTTGAGGGCAACCAGACCTGCAGTGGAGGGTTTTGGGAGGGTGACCAGGCCTGCAGGGGAGGGCAGTTAAGGGCCACCAGGCTGGCAGGGCTGGGCAGTTGGGCGCAACCAGGCAAGCAGGGGAGGGCAGTTGGGGGTGACCAGGCCTGCAAGGAGGGCAGTTAAGGGTGACCAGACCTGCAGTGGAGGGCAGTTGGGGATGAACAGATGGGCAGGTAGGAAGTTTGGGTTGACTGGGCTGGCAAGGGAGGGTAATTGGTGGTCACAGGGCCCATAAGGGAGGGCAGTTGGGGACGGTCAGCCTAGCAGGGGAGCAATTAGATGTCGATCAGATTGGCAGGGAAGTGGTTAGGGGGTGATCAGGCTCGTGGGCAGACGAGCGGTATTTTGAGAAGGATGTCCAACTGCTGGTTAAACCCCCAAGGGGTCCCAGATTGGAGAGGGTGCAGGCTGGGCCGAGAGATCCCCCACCCCCTAGTGCACAAATTTTGTACACCGGGCTTCTAGTATTTTATATAAATATATAGTCTGTTACAAAGAACAAGTATCCATAATGTATACGAATGTATACACGTATAATAGGAGTGTCACAGACTAAAGAGAATTAGTAAAATGTATATGAAAATCCTCCGTCAGTGTCTGGGGTGCTCCACGGGACCCAGAGTGAATCCCCACCCACCTGCGGGCTTCAGAATTGTGCAAGACCCAGACCCAGCCGGCCCCATCCCCGCTGGGCAAGATCCACACCCTGCTGGCGCCACCCTTGTCCAGCCCCCCCTGGCGCGGGGTAGGGGGCGGGCCTTCAGGTCTCCCATCACGCCCCGCTGGGTGGGGGATGTGGCCTGAGATCCTCTGACAACCCCCACCGGGCAGGGGGCGCATCTTGAGGACCCCTGTCAAGCCCCGCTGGGCTGGGGGTACAGCTTCCGGGGCCCTGGCCCGGAGCCAGGAGGGGGCACAGCCTCAGGTGACCCGGTGCTGGGGTAGGGAGTGTGGCCTGAGGTCACCTGGCCCATCACTGGGGCAGGCGTTGTGGCCTGAGGTCCCCCCTCAAGCCCACTGGGCAGGTGGATGGGGAGCGGGGGGAGGGCGGCCACAGCCTCAGGTCCCTGCTGATCGCTCATTTAGCCTGGATAGGGGAATCAGCCTCCCCTGTGGGCCCAGCCATCTTGTGTTATGGAAACCCCCATCTCCCCACCTCCACTGTGGGCGCCGCCATCTTTTGTGGTGACGTGATGGTCAATTTGCATACTCCCTCTTGATTCGATAGGATTTTCTTACTCATAATCAGCACTAGTGCCTGTGACAAAGCAAGCGCTCATCACTGCGGACAGGGTCAGTCCCGGCATGGTTTTGGCGGGAGCTTTGCTACTTTCTTCACCAAGTTAACTCAATCTGTTCTGAGGAGGAAACACGTAAAAGTGTGAACACTGTGGAAAATAATTCAGTACATTTTAGAAAATAGTAAAATACCGGAAACAGTTAAATCATATTAAAACATAATCGATGTGGCACAGTCATTAGATTAGTTTCATGAGGACTCAGGAAAGAACGTTTGTTCTCTAGTGGGCGTCACCCTCTGTGACACCTACGTGAAAACCTGACGAGCCACCATTTTGACATTGAAGTATTTCTTTGCTGCTCACAGCCTGAAGATTTCAGCTTCCGTTCATAGTCTCTTTGATTTGCTGATTTTACTTGTTTATTTATTCGCTGCCCGGTGCTTTTCTGCTTCAGTGACGTTTCTCTGTTTTACAGGAGGGGTTCAAAATGGGACTGACGCTGGAAGGCACGGTATTCTGCATGGACCCCGTAGACAGCAAGTGCTGATGTCAAGACAAGGGTGCCTGGCTCGTGTTAAATTTGTTTGCTCTGCACATACACCCCTGATTCCTTTATGATGGGTCTTATCTGTGTGCCAATATCTATTTTAATATCTTCACTTTCTGAAAATCATCTTAGTAAAATTTCCTCATACCTTCCCCATTGATCTGTAACCTTTGATTTAAAAAAAAACAAACAACTTACTGCAAAGTCTTCTTTTATAGTCCTTTCCGTTCCTGTTGTAAAAGGATTTACAGTCAAAGGACCAGGGATCCAAATATCACTCTTGGGCTTGGGCTCCACGGCGTCAGCACCTTGAAATCTGTGCTCGGACTCCAGGCTGCTAGCTGAGTGCTGATTCCCCAAAAGCCATACTTTCATGGAACCTTTGAAAGTCCTAACGAGATACACCAACGCCAATCTGAACACTATATCCAAACTGATAATCGTGTTACCCGATGTCATTTTATGTATGAGTGCTTTTCCTATCCTTGAGAAAATGTAAACTCTGAATATCACGCCACCAGGACACTTTTGGTCGGTGGAAAACAGAACTATAAATGCCTGTAATAATTAAACCAAATGTGCTTAGAGTTTTAGTAAATTCAAGGTGATAACCTTAGCCATGATTGTCCGTTATACTCTACATACTTTATTTCATGAGTGAATATTGTGGAGAAATTTTAAATTTCCTTTTTAGCAAACACTTTACGTTCTAACGAGTCAAGTTACCTTGCCAAACATGTAGTCCTTCTCCGACCTCCTGTTTTCTGAAACAGCATTTGGCATGTTTGCCCTCTATAGCTGCACTGTTACTTGTATTTATTTTACCAAATATATTTTTGTCTCAAAATATTGTGATGGCTCATTAGTTTTGATACTGTAAAATCTATAGAAACCGGGCTTCATGAATCATCAGTATTACTTAGCAAATTTTTTGTTGTTGACGTTAGAATCTCGTTTTTCTTCTTCACAAAAAATCAAGTTGCTGCTCAGTTGGTCTCTGACTTGAATAATAACTGTTACTCAGTGCAACCAAAACTTACGGTCAAAACGCACCGTGTGGCCATCACATATAAGAGCAGTGAACGCGGTTACATTGCTGGTAGAGCTCCAAAGCAGAGTCTCCTTTTCCTCTCTTGGAAATTTCCTTCAAGTGCTAAAGGTACATGTTCACCAGGAAATGAAATCGAATAGCTTATGCAGTATTCTATTTGTATGTATCTCCGTAAGGTTCTATGATGTCTCTAAGCCTTCTTGGTTGTTTTCTGGTATCCGTTAGGTTGTACCTTAAGTAGAAGGTAGTATGTGTTTCATAAAGAAAAGTCTTAATAACTTTTGTTTGTCATATAATATTTTGGAATTTATAAAATGAGGACGTTTAGAAGCCATATCAATGGCTTTTTTTTTTTTTTTACCAGATAGAATTTGTATTTTTATTGTACTTTAAAAAGCTTTATGTAATAGGTATATATTTAGCGGCCATTTATTATCAATGGTAACATAATAAAATACTTAAGATGGTATTTGCACATTTAAGATACATTACCAATTTTTAATGGTAATCAGGTAATCAATTCTGCTACTGGCATGATTAAATAGTCCACAATTGGTCATTAATTATAAAAATTTGCTTCACCAGTGCATTTTTATGAAGATTCAGTTGAAAAATGTATTTCTATGTAAACTCAATGATATGTTTGATTTTACTGAGAATAAATGATTTTAATTAAACCGTATAACTTGAGCATTAATAATCCCCAATTAAGACACATTTTGAAGTTAATTTTATGCCAGATTTTTCTGGTCATGGGTTGGAGACAAGAGAGACAGGCAGAGAGAGAAAAGGTTTAACTTCATTTCTTAGATCCCACATATTTCTCGCTGTATGAGCTATTTATTATATTTATTATATTTATTATATATATTTATTACATATATTTATTCAGTTGTAAAAGCAAAGGATTTGGTCCTGCTGGTGAGAGGGCACAGTGAGACTCAAGACTGAGCTGTTGCTTTGGTTTGGGTTCTTTGTCTCAAAAAGTGGATAAATGAATTCACGGGCAAATGGGAATGAATGAAGTTGATTACAGTGAAAGCTAGCAAAGCTCTCAGCAGGCAAGAGGGGTCCTGGATGGGGTTTCCACAAGCCACAGGAAGTCAGGTATCCATAGAGAGGTTCCATTTCCATAACCGTCTGTAATCTAGGCGAGGAGCACAGATTTGGCCAAGCTGTTAACAATGCAGCCATAATTAGGAGGAGCACCTCAGAGACCGGAGCCTGGGAGGGTAGGAGGGCAGGTGTGCTGGGCAGCCAGGGGGAGAGAGACCACCCGAAGTCTGGGCCTGCTGGTTGCACTTACACAGCCGTGCTGCTTGTTCATAAAATGTCCTTATGTCTGTCTCCGCGAGGCAGGAATTACTGACATAAGTGCCTCCTTGTTCTGCTGAGAGGTAACCAAGGGCCACACAGTCACCCAAGTCTACGCAGGCTGAGGCAGCGGTTAGCAAACTGCAGCTCACAAGCCGCGGTTTGCTGCTCCGTTGACAAATGAGTTTGCCGGCCCAGTCCCTACCCGAAACCCTAGCCCTAACCCTAAACCTAGCCGTAGCCCCAACCCAGTCCCTACCCGAAACCCTAGCCCTAACCCTAAACCTAGCCATAGCCCCAACCCAGTCCCTACCCGAAACCCTAGCCCTAACCCTAAACCTAGCCATAGCCCCAACCCAGTCCCTACCCGAAACCCTAGCCCTAACCCTAAACCTAGCCGTAGCCCCAACCCTAGCCCAGTGGTCAGCAAACTCCCTGCTCATGAGCCACATGAGCTTTTGGCCCCTTCAGCGGCTCTTCCGCCAGAATAGCACGGCCTGGGCGAGTGTGTTTTTCTTTTAAGTATATTTTACTGATTTTTTTTTTTTTTTCCAGAGAGGAAGGGAAGGGGATAGAGAGTTAAACATCAATGAGAGAGAAACTTCCATCAACTGCCTCCTGCACGCCCCCTACTGGGGATGTGCCTGCAATCAAGGGTACATGCACTTGACTGGATTCAGACCTGGGACCCTTGAGTCCACAGGCTGACGCTCTGTCCACTGAGCCAGACCTGTGAGGGCAGGTGTGTCTATTTTGAAGAAGGGACGTTAGAAGAAGTTAAAAATTTGGCTTTCAGCTGAAACAAGTTTGGCTCAGTGGAAAGAGCGTCAGCCTGTGGACTGAAAGGTCCCATGTTCAATTTCAATCAAAGGCATGTATATTGGTTGCGGGCACATCCCCGGTAGGGGGTGTGCAGGAGGCAGCTGGTTGATGTTTCTAGCTCTCTATAAAAAAAAAAAAAAAAAAATTTGCTCTCAGCTGAAACAGGTTTGGCTCAGTGGTTAGAATGTCAGCCTGTGGATTGAAAGGACCCAGGTTTGATTCCAGTCAAGGGCATGTACCTTGGTTGCGGGCACATCCCCGGTAGGGGCTGTGCAGGAGGCAACTGGGTGATGTTTCTCTCTCATCGATGTTTCTAGCTCTATATCCCTCTCCCTCTTTGTAAAAATAAAAAATAAAATAAAATAAATAAAAATAAAAATAAAAAAAATTGGCTCTCAGCTGAAACAGATTTGACTCAGTGGATAGAACCTGAGACCTGTGGATTGAAAGGTCCCAGGTTCCATTGCAGTCAAGGGCATGTACCTTGGTTGTGGGCACATCCCCAGTAGGGAGTATGCAGGAGGCAGCTGGTCAATGTTTCTCTCTCATTGATGTTTTTAGCTCTCTGTCCCTCTCCCTTACTCTCTGTAAAAAAAAAAAAAAAAAAAAAAAAAAAAAAAAGGCTCTCCTCTGAAACAGATTTGCTTCAGTGGATAGAGCGTCGGTCTGCGGACTGAAAGATCCCAGTTTTTGATTCCAGTCAACGGCATGTATATTGGTTGTGGGCACATCCCCGGTAGGGGGTGTGCAGGAGGCAGCTGGTCGATGTTTCTAGCCCCCCCCCCCCCTCTCTCTCTCTCTCTCTCTCTCTCTCTCTCTCTCTCTCTCTCTATATATATATATATATATATATATATATATATATATATATATATATATATTTGTTGTTTTTTTTTAATTGCTTCTCAAAAGAAATTTCAGTGGTAATGTTGATATTTGGCTCTGTTGACTAATGAGTTTGCTGACCACTGCGCTAGCCCTAACCCTAGCCATAGTCCTAACCCTAACCTTAGCCCTAACCCTAACCCTAACCCCAACCCTAACCCTATGAGTAGTGCCCTCTAACAGCTGTGCTGATATCTGAGAAGACGGCTCTCTGAAAGCCATCAGCTTCCTGTGGAGGACAGTGATGTCATGGGGACCAAGTGCCATCTGGTCCTTTCCTACCTCAGTGACCCCTGGAACCAGTGACACCATAGCAGCCACCTCCCACACACAGGCGGGCCAGCCCTGGGCCCGATGTCCGTTCTTCACTCAGACGTCTCACAGGCTGGGCCAGTCCTCCTGGGGCCGTCCCTGCCCCTTTCAGTGACATGTGGGTGGAATTACGTGTAAGCCTTTTCTAGCCTCAGGCTTTAGGGGTGCTGCTTCCTGGGGGGAGCGGAGGTTGGGTCCTTGAGATGCATTTGGACAGTAGCGGCTCTGAGGACCGCCCCACCTTTCCTTGTGTAGCCCATGCTTCCGGGTTGATCTCAATTTCAATCAGGGGCAGGCATAACGCCTGCTCTGGGGCCATACCGTATTTTCTGGCGTATAAGACGACCCCCTAATTTTACAGTTAAAACATAGGTTTAGGCCTATATTCGCTGTATAAGACTACCCCCCACTTCAAAGAAAAGACTTACTTGGCCGTCAAGATCTGCAGGTGATTTTTGTGCAATTTTGGTCTTTTGCCCCCGATTTTCGGTTGACTTTTTTTCGTTTCAAAGGTTGTCTTATACGCTGGAAAATACGTATGTACTATAGCACCCAATTGAGCTAATATATCTCACCCCAGAAGGGGGGGTCAGACTTTCTGGCATGGCCAGGAAGGCAGATGAGAAGAGGAATCACCCCAGGTCCTGCAGAGAGGCTGGGAGAATCGGCTTGTTACAGGTTCCCCAAGATGCCTCTCTCAGAACAGGCGGCTCCAGTGTCCAGCAGGAAGCTGACTTCCTTTCCTTCAACAACAGAATCACCCAGGGCTCTGAGCTGCTGGGTTTGTTGTCTATTGAGAAGTGGACAAATGAATTCATGGACAACCAGGGGTAAGCAAAGGGAAGGGAGGTTTATTACAGCAAAAGTAACAAAGCTCTCAGCACACAAGAGGGGTCCCAAAATGGGTTGCCGCCAACACCCAATGGTCTAGGGGTTTATATTTCCTGCTCTTGCCTTCTATTGGCTCTTTCAAAAATAACAGCAGCCAATCTCCTTTCGCCTTCTTCCCGCTCTTAGTTTTCACTCTTGGGTTCCGAAGGAAGGGCAGCTTTGCTGGTGACTAGTCCACTCAGTCTACCTTGCTCACATCCTGACCATCTGGCTCATTCCCTTTTTATCTACCACCTTCCCTCCCTGCAGCCCTTACCCTAAACTGCCCGATCCCATCTGACTCCCCAGGAGTTTGGTTCCTTTAATCAGAAGCATCTGGTGCAAATAAGTGTACTGTGAAAAAAATACATTTTCAAAAATAAGAGTCTTTTTAGCCTAATAATAATGCCAAGCGTGGTTTGGCTAATAGTCTTAAAAATAACAGAATTCGAGCTGAGGATAACGGCATATCATGAAGAAGCTTTGAACCTATCAAAGCACAATGTTAAGTATTTGAAAGACACTCAGGACTCACCGACACTGCCTTTGCACACCAGTGAATAGTCATCAAGCTGTTCAATAAAATTCACGTATTCCTCACTCCGTGTGGACAAGATTCTTATGTGGGTAAGAAAACGTCTAGTAGTTTTGCTAACAGACATTGTTAAATTGGAGATGACATGGCCCCTACCTTCAGTTAGCTTGTTATCAGAGAGGAAAAGTAAAACAAACAAATGAATAAATGAAAACCAATATGTACTAAGGTGCTCTGTGCATCCCAAAGTCCCCTGGGGATAGTTATATGTGCCTGCTTTACATTGTGTCTCATGCTGGGTGTCCAGTGGAAGCTTCTTCAGACAGCCAGTGACCATCATGGTCTCCATCTCTTCTTGTTTCTTGTATTTTTTTCATTTTTATTTTCATTTTTTCTTAAGTCTAAGTCACATTACAGTAATTCATGTTCAGATAGAATTTCTGATTTCCTGTTGTTACATTTCTAAATACTGACTTTTTCTACCCATTTAGATGTTTCTTCACATAACCATGAACAGACTGGCAGTTAATATTGTTCTGTCCCAGTGTTTCCAAATATACTTCCAAATTCAATATTTATTTGTGATTTTGGGTTTCAGCCTCTGCTCAATTACTTGAAGAATCTTGGACTCAACTTTGACAACTAAATCTCAGACTCCACCTAAAGTACACCCTTTCCAAGCCGCTAACACGCTGTGGAGATGGGCAAGGGTGATACAGGGTGGGTGTACAGTTGGGAGTACTCAAGACACAGAGTTCATTCTCGTGTCATTATTAAGGACTAGAGGCCCGGTGCACAAAATTCATGCAGGGGTAGAGGCCCTTTGCCTGGCAGTGATCAGGGCCGATCAGGGCCTTCTGGCTGCTGGCTGTGGCCTTCCTTCCCCAGCTGCCAGCAGCCGGCAGGGGCCTTTCTTTGTTCCTCGCCACCCCCTGGTGT